AATAATGAAATAGATTGCATAATTACCATAAAAAAATTTTAGCTATAAATATTAAAAAAACATATGTGATAGATAAAAATTTAATTTCTATATGAATAATTATAAATCTTAAATATATTTATAAATTTATTCGCGCTCCATATACTGTGTTGGCACCATATATATTGTCTTTTCCTTATTTTGAATTATCCTAAATATACATATATATTTGTGTGTTAAAAAATATTTTACATATATCTATATAAAACTATTAATTTATACATATATTTTATTACAGATATTTCAAATATTTTTAAATAAAATCTGAAATATTCTTTGTGTATGCGTTTTATTACACGAGTTAAAAATAGATTACTATCGCAAAGATAAAGAAGCAATTAATTTTACAAACAATAAATGATACAATAAGTTGTAAATTGCTTACTCTACGGTTGCTTCACCGATATCCGGGTCTCCTTGTTTGTTCTTTGTAGTTTTTCATGGCATTCACTCGCGAAAATACGATTAATTACGATTACATGTGCGATCACATATTACAACGATTGCGCGATATTTTGTACGACACTTCCGTTAATCACATGAAACTTTATTATGCAACGAGAGAAAACTATGTGGAAACTATGTACACATAGAAACTATAATTTGCTCGACACTCGAAAATTGCGCGACTAAAACTCGCACTCACTTGGCATGGCAATGCTACTTTTGATTTTAATAAATAATATACGTTCCCATTTTAGGATAATTATGTATCGTGAATTATAACGTACATGTGAACATAAATAATTTAAAGTTAAAGATACATATCTACAGAATGTGTGCTATGAATACGTCGTCGCTGTATTGATTACTCGTACGATATATCTTGACCAAATAAATCATGTAAAGTACGCGTTTTAATAAATCACCAATATTTAAACATTAAATTTTTTGTACATAATTAAGAATATTAAAATACATATGTAATATTAAGTAGCATGAATAGATTAAATACGACTGTACTAATTAATTAAATGCGTCACATAAGGCTGTTTTAATTAGATCATCCTGTATCATGGAATACTGCGTATCGAGTATTAATACGTAATATTCGTTATAAGACGCAATAATCACAGGAATCAATTAATGTCTCGGATACATAATCGTGTGTGATAATCGTTGTTAATGCTAATAAATCGTATGAAATGATTGCGTTTGGCTTAGTGTCACGATCATATTTCGAGAGATAAGACGACACACACTCGCGCTACTATTTCTCTAGCCGAGTCTTACTGTGCCAATGATAACGAGGCGTAAGCCTTGGAAACGTAAGTGCGAAATGTAAACACGGAACGTAAACGCGCTGATGTTGACATTTGGTCGTGGCCTTGTCATTCGCACAGCGACAACTCGAGCGAATATAGACAATGATCTGAGAGCGGCTCCGCGTGTCGTAGTAATATTTTTCGACAAACGACAAATATACTAGGTCGAAGTGGATCATTTCGTATGATTATGAGAACGATTATAGCAACGATTATTACGATTACGTACCCATGCGATTAATTAATTCCCGTCCGTCTTCATGAAACATTAACTCGACAGGGAGCCATCAAATAACGGCGAAGTAATCAGTGAGCAATTTGTAACTTATTTTATTTATTATTTGTAAAATTAATTAATAAATATATTACGGTTAGTTTACACTTTTATTTATTGAATAAAAAAATTGATCTACAGAGTTTTAACGATAGAATCGATTGTAGAATCGCTATTGTACTTCATAGTTATATGTAATGATGTGATATAATGAACAGTCTTCTTTGTGTATGTGACTTACCTTTTTAAAGATATTAGATATGCGATTAAAAAAAATAGATACTAAAACAAAGCACGATATTATATATACTTATATGGGAAAATAATAATGTATATTTATTGAAAATAACTTATCATTTACGTACAATTTTCAGATACTTATTTATCTATCTGTACATTATAAAATGTAAGGTAAAAACCTGAATAAGTTTTGTGATTTAGGAAAGACAAAATTATCTAAACGAAAATATCGCTCTGTTGAAAGCAAATCTTCTTGAGAAGAATCTTTTTCACCAAGAATTTACATAAAACATTTGGGACGGCAAAATTCGGTCATTTGTCAACTGAAAGCTTTTTCATGCGGCGTAAAATGGGGATTTAAAGAGGCACGATGAAGTTCGGGCGCCGTGTGTCACGTCGGCAAGATAAAAGTTTATTTTGGCCTTAGTGGGAATTTATCCGCGGTGAAAGCTGCGCGCTTGTGTGCGCGTATTAGGCGTACTTAATCCTGAGATAATACAAATACTTATATCTCGTGATCCGACAAGTCTTATTAACCTAATCTTCCGCCCGTTTTTTTACGATTAAAATCACTATGCTTATGTTTCGAAGCAAGCATCGAAGTAATTATATAATATATCCGATTTTGTAAAAAAATAATGAAAAAGTAATTAATTAATTGCTTAAAAATTAGATTATTAAAATAACAAAATATAGATATGCTTGTTATGCTTGCTCGGCAAATTAAATTTTTTTAAAAATATTATTGGAAAAACTAAAATTTTTAAATCTCTATAGCTACTTTATAGCAACTATAACTTGTTTTTGATATTCTTGATATTAATTTTTATTTTAGAATTGTGTTTTTATATAAATGATAAAAAGTTCATTAAATCTTTATTTGTCTCTAGTTTTATATTAATACCAACAGATAAGGAGTTAGAAACACATAAGTAAATGAATTTTCCTTTTTTCCTGTTGCAGAAAGCCAGATTGGCGCGCATTAGAATCGCGAAGGCGTCGAGCGGTGCAGCCTTTGTGAGCAAAAAGAAGGCAGCGGAGGCGCGTTTGGCCGCTCAGGAGAGCGGGCTGCATTTGGACGAGTTGTACAAAGAGGAAGATATCTTTGAACTGCAGCATCATCACCTACTTCGTTGCTTGGAGAAGACTACGGTAAGCACTCACATCTTTGTCTACTAACAGCTGCATGTCGCGTGTTTTCGTGTGGGAATTCTAAAGTTTCCTAAGTCCCTGTTGGTTCGCTCTAAAGCCTTTCAAATCCTCATCAATAAATTAACATTCCCACGGAGAGGATACACTTTATTTTTAATACGTCACTTTGACGATAAAATACTAAATAAATATTATTTTTTTATAAATTGCGCTGTATAGATATGTTAAAAGAAGTGAGGTTGCGATCTCTTAATGAAGAAAATTTTCTTTTAGAAAGTTGTATACGTCATTTTGACGATTGTACAAATATTGCGTGTTCTATTTGCAATATCATTTTTTTTTAAGAATTATAACAAAATAAACAATATAGTTAAGAGAAAATTGAAATAATACCGACAACTTATATATTAATAGTTAATCGATATTCTCTCTCTAATACTATGGAAAGAAAAATGACATTTAATAAAGATAAAAAAAATTTATCTCAGAATACGACGAAGAATTTTGCTATCATTATTTAAAATTTTTTAAAGTTCCATATAAAGCCTCGAGCGACAAAGATAGATTAATCAACGAAATGATAATTAATTATTCATGAAAGCGGTTCTTTCACCGTGGACGCGAAGACAAACTCGCACAAAAACGTAGTCCACCTCGAGTGTCCGTCATTAATCCCAGCGACGCGAAGCGACAAAGCAACTGCATCGTCGCGAATGCATGTGTCGACGCTTCCGCTTCTCGCGCCAGGAATTCAATGGATACCTCGTCTCGAAAATCCGGCGGACTATTTCTCGAATACTGCGCGCGAGTAATTTGAATAAACCTACGCCCCGTACTTGTCTAATTTTAGCCCGGCGGGAGGGTGGTTGATTGTGCGAACGAGGGTTGCCATGTACGGGATGTAGTTGCTATCGAACCCGAATATTCGCAAACCAATCCTCGGATTGGAATTACGGATTTGCTGTTACAGAAATATACTATTATGAAATCGCATATTGTATTTGGGATGTCATATAAAAGTCTTAGATTTTTCGTGTAACGCAGATACAAGATCAATAAAAAATGAAACATAAAAAAAAATGAGATATAAATAAAATGATAAATATATATACACATGACATTGGAGAAGAAGATAGAAGAATACGAAAGAAGACAGTATTTGTGATAATTTAATTTGTGATAATTGAGTCGTTTTAATTTTTGTTTAAAAAAAATATATTAATGTGATAGTTTTAATATAATTTGTGATTATATAACTAGACACACATAGATAAATTAAAATTATAAACATAACTCTTTAAAATAATAATCTAACTTTATGAGTAAAAGATACATACATATATCTAATATTTAATATTTTTCTATATCTTCTCCTACATCGTTACATGTAATAAATTAAGAAACTATAAAAATTATATTAGATATACCTAAAAAAGGTAGAAGAAGTTAGAAGCTAGGCAAAAAGATTAATATAAAATACAAATGCATTTTCTAGAGTTTGTTTTCGTTTTTGTGAAAAGATTTATAGTTACGGACACACACACACACATACACATACACAGACACACACACATACATACACGAAATACACAAGTGCGTGACATTTTAATGCATCTTATTTATGTTTAGCATATTTGTGTGCGTGTGCATAGATATGCAAACTACAGACTCAATTAAATCAACCGTGACGTACACGATGAACGCATCTAAGTAATTACAAAATATGCGTTGCGGTTTATACGACAGTGTAATGGCAGACTATGTAACACCCACGTGGGAGAGAGAAATTAGTTTATTACGCCAGAGAGGATCAGAGCTTTTGAATATGCGTACACAGAATTTACAGGATGATATGGGTCACAACTTATGGAAGTTGAGTTTAGGTTACTTCGCCGAAGTCGATACAGTTCAATATTTCAAAAGAGGGAACACAAGCATGTTTTTAGATAATGCAGATATATATGTGAGAATAAGAGTAATTATATCATTGATACTAGAAGTTACATTTCTGAGAAAGATTAAATCGATATTAAATAAGAATTACTACGAATTTAAAAAAGAGTACATATAATTTAGTGTTACCATTTTCGTATAAAAAATACGTGTCTAAAATAATTAAAATAATGGAATTAATAAAAAAGAGAAAGGACTTGTTCGTATATGTAACACTAGTGTGTGTTATTCATCTTTTATGAATCAAGTACTAATAGATTAATTATATCAGCTTGTATATTTGCCCTGTATATCGCAAACGAAGTGCCCTATCTGTAGATAGTAATGCTATCGAGCCTGCTTTTAAGTTGTGCTTTTGATCTTTTGGGAATTCCGCTTGTATCTTATACATTAGTTAAAAGTATAATTTTGGTTACATATGGTCGTGTCACTTGCGTAATATTATCGAGCAATATATATTTTGCACAACCGATAATTTAACTTGAATTCGAGAAGAGCTTTTGATATTTTGTTGTTCATGATTAATTTTTAATATTAATTTTTTAATTAATGCATTTTTTAATTTATGATATGCTTTAACACATATAAATAATTTTTTGCAGTCTTGAAAATTATACAGAGAGATTATTCCTGGCACTAATAATATAATATATTATATAATACATTTATTTTTTATACATTTATTTATATTATAAATTTATTTTTTATATAAAATTGATTAGGAGAGAAAAGTATTATATCTGTTAGTTTTATCGAATTGCTTGAAACATGATAAATAAAAAAAAAAATTATTTTTACAATATATTTAATCAAACAATTAATTTTAGATTCAATTACATTGACGATCAAAAGCAATAGTGAATATTTAGTTATTGCGGTAAAGTGTTTATATTTAGCTTGACATAATTTGGAGACATAGGTCATCGTTATATAGCTAATTTTATCATTAAATTCGACATTTGCGATATTGCGCAAATCATCGATAACGGTGTCATTTGACGATGGATGCTTCTTGTATCATAGACGATGACGTCGTCGGGCTACGGGGTCAGGTTTTCGATCGATTCGTTGTCCATGTCATCTATTCACGAAGCTGGCGAATCTTTACTTTGAATTTTGCACAAATCGTGTAGTAATAAATCTGTTTTTTATAGCTGAACTGGCTGCACTAGTTCAGAGCTTATCTTTTTCTCTCTACATTGGAAGGAGAAAGATAAGCTCTGAACTAGTACAGCCAGTTGAACTATAAAGAACAGACCCAATGTTTCCCGAGAGTGCAACCTTCGCGTGATCCCCGTTCGACATGGAAATGTCGAAGAAAACGAACGATTTCTGCTGATCAAAGAATAATGTAGCGGACTTGCTGATCAAACGCAGCGCGAAACGTAAACTGTACTTTCGGACAAGGACGTGAACTGATCTAGATACTTGTTTGATAAGCCGAACACGTGTTTCCGAAAAGTGTGACAAATCAGGCATGCATCTTCTTTATTTTATTAATATAATGTTAATACTTGGATATCACTGTATAAAAAGTGTCGGTTGTTTGAGCCAAGTGCAACATATAAAGTATTTGCAACGTATAAAGTATTTCAAAAAACGCACAAAAGTGCTCAGCAAGTATCCTTGAATGAATTTGGAAATAATTTTTCTTCAAGTTTGTAAAAAATAAAGACTTAATTTTTATAGAATTTTTAAACACTTAAAAAAACAAAAAAATGTGAAAAATAAATTAATTTAATATTTTTTTTTTATTGTATATGATTTTGATAAAAATGTAAAACATGATAACGTCGATATAATGTCGATATGTCAATAAATCGGGAAATAAGTAATATCGAAATTTCCGATATTGGAACTCTTCGTAATGAATGGTTTAAACAGAGACTTAAGAGTTATTTTAAATTGAAGTTTATAGAATGTAAAATGCCATTTTACGATAAACAATTATTCTTCTAGAACGCAAGTATACTAACAAATTACTTTTAATTTATTTAAAATAATCTGTATTTTCATAAAAAAATTTGAGATTTGAGGTTTAATTGCGGGAATGATTATAATATAAAGAAATTTGTCAAAAATTGAAATACTTTTAGTTTTACACATCTTCTATTGGATTGAACGGAAAGTTCGTTTTTTACTAAGAGATAAAGACCGAAAAAACGGCACAAACTTTCCGTTCAACCCAATACAATAACTTTGATCTCATTTAAAAGATAATTTAATTCTCTTTTACACATCGATTGAACGGAAAGTTCGTTTTTTACTAAGAGATAAAGACCGAAAAAACGGCACAAACTTTCCGTTCAACCCAATACAATAATACAATACTCATTTAAAAGATAATTTAATTCTCTACAACTATTGTTTCAGTACTTTTTGTTAAAAGACGCATATTTTCCCTGATATTTGTAAAAATGTAAAAAATAACCGTGATTTCAGAGGATTATGGGCGCTAACTCTTTAA